TACTACTCTCCCCAGACTTTCCACTCCTTGGAATGGTGCCAACAGAAATATCCACGTACAAGGATGTCTTTGCAGCACTGTCCCCAGTGGGAAAAATTGGTAACAACCTAAATATACATCAGTAGAAGAAAGGCTAAAAACATTGTTGTGTATCTGTCATAAGAGAGGGAAATCCATCAGGGGTCCTCAAACTTTTTAAACAGGGGGCCAGTTCACTGTCCCTCAGACCGTTGGAGGGCCGTTGGAGAGTGCGGCGCCCATTCCACACATGCGCACTGTGGGCCCGGGATGAGTTGACTGCTAAGCAGGACAGGCAGCGGCAGCAAAAACACCCGGTGGGCCGGTTAAACGTCCTCAGTGGGCCGCATGTGGCCCTCGGGCGTAGTTTGAGGACCCCTGCGTCTAGATTGTATTGTTGAATGAAAAGGACTATTTGCTCAACACCTGGGAGAGTGTGATCCCACTTATATGAAAAATAAAATACATAAGTATCTATGTACCTATAGGCATGTAAACCTAACAAAAAAAAATCTCAAGGATACATCAAGATGTTGAGAGAGGACATTTCTGCAAAGGGAGTGGCATAGCAGAATGGGGGATGTGAGTGAAATGGTCCTTTCGAAACTTTATAGATTACATGATTATAGACACAAATTTTATGTGTGTGTTGTGTTGTGTGGACAATTAAGAAAATTAAAACAAAAACAATGCATGTGTGTCACTTTGTAATCATAACCGATTCCTTCCCACAATATTTCACGGAAGATCAAACATTTTCTAGACTTGGATTTGCCACTAATTTACAGTGTTGGTGAGATTCGGTACAAGCACTGCCATCTCTATTTCTGGAGTACTACTAAATGTAATAGGGTTTTGGTTTGTTGCTTCTGTAACAAGAAATTGAATTCGCCTTATCCGGTTCTACCAGGCACTAAAAGGAGTTGGTAACTGCTCTTATGCAAGTGAATCAAATGACCCCCATCCTCATGTGGCCTTCTCCTAGTCCCTCAAACTTTTAGTCATTAATAAACGTGTTTCTCTTATGGCACAAGCTTCCTTTGAATCACACAACCAACGGAAGTGGTGGTCTTCTGTTTTCTCACTGTGTACAGTTTGGAGTGAAGAACCAGATCCTCTGCCCAGTGCTTTCTGCCATGCACTTGCTCTTCCTTCCCGGGTTTGCTAATCTTCCTTTGTCCACCATGCAATTCTTTTTAGGAAGGAGCCAACACAAGCCTGATTCATTACCTATTCCTAAATTACTGCCACTGGCTACAACAGCTCGGTGATTTAAATCCTTATATTAGTTTTCCTGGTGTACAATCACAGTCTGAATGCCATCTATTTAAATATTTAAAAGAGCTCCCCAAATATAATATAAAGCTATATCTCTTCATACTTCAATTTCCTTAAAACAGATGTGGCTCTTATAAATGTTGATTGAAATATATTTGACCCACAGACGTCTTCTGAAAAATATCAGTAACCAAAAGAGTCATCTGTCAAACATATCCTCCGCCATTATGGCTGTCTACCTAACTCTTGGCAACTATTCTCTTGCATTAACACCCTTCCTCTTAATCTTCTCAAGCTCATTTTTACTTTATGCACCTCTCTTGGAACACAGTTTCCTTATCATTTAGGAAAGACACAACCCATTTATAAAGACAAGGTGAAACTTGACCTAACCACCTTGATCCAGATATTTCAACTAAAATAGTACCTGGACCCTTGGAAGAATTCAGAACATCAATAGCAAGAAAAAAACAAACAAACAAAAAAAAAACTATGTCTTGGAAAAGAAGAAAATGCATTAGTTAATGAAAGAAAACAACACACAAAAAAATTCACGGCATCTGAAAATAAGTAAACAAATTTTCCCAAGTAAATAAATGTTCTGTGAATCCTTAAATTTCTGTTTAACAACACAACTGTTCCCAAGCATTATATGCACTAGCTAGATTATAACATTTTTGGACTCCAGAATAATCTGTGGATTTTCAGAATTGTTTTTTCAAAGAACATTTTATGAAGCTGCCAATCTGTTCCTTCTCATTTAGGTGTTATCAAGTTTGAAAAGCTTGGACAGATAGGAATGAGGGAATGCTTCCCAGTATTTGAAATCCCTGGCACGGCCGGCCAATCCCACGTTCTCCAACGGTGAGCAGCGCCGGCCAGAGCTCCACTTGCCAGGTATCTCTTCATCTCTCTGCCCACTTGGCCATCGTTTCCCCATGAAATCTGCCTGAAATCTCCCCCTCTCCCCTGTCCCACTGCCACTGCCTGTGCTTCCTTCCTAATGGTGCACATCCCACTGCATTCTAATGACTTGCATGCCTGTCCTTGTAAGGCCAGGAGCTCCTTGGGGGCGGGAAAGTGACCAACTCCTGTTTGTTTGTATTCCCAGAGCCCAGTTCTGTGTCTGACGTAGACAGTTCCCAATAAAGATTACTAAACTGAGCTGAGCAAGTCGGACTCCGAGTTGTAAACCTGATTTCACTCTAACTCTGACTCTAAGACTTCCAGTCAGGAGTATATAAGGTATAACCAACGTAATTGTGATCTTTGTTACCGTCCACACTTAGTATGCAGACATTTGAATTCATCCGAAGTGTCAGCAGGAACTATTGCTGCTGTGATCAGGTGCCTACTGGAAGCCTATGCGTGCACTGTGCTTCCTTTACCGTAAGAGTTTCTAAAATTCTTGAGAAAAAATTAAGATTTTTCTCCGGGCCAAAACAGACTAATTAGTGAGATAGCCAAGTGAAATAAACAACGTTCAATCTTAATATTTTTAATATTTTCCAAAATATACAAATAGATCACTGAATGATGAAATTTGAATTTGATGAGCCAAAAGACAATAAGAAGTACGGTCAATATTTAAAATTCAGATAAAAAAAATTACTCTCCAAAATGTCTCTAAAACAATGGCAGCTGTTTTTGTTTCTAAGATATCTGACTTTATAATATGAGCAAGCACTCAAATTTCAAGAGAAGTTCAAATTTGTCATTTATCATTGAAGGATCATTAGAGTTCATATGTCCGTGTTCTTGAAACCAGAATTCTAACAATCTTGATTAAAATACTGACATTAGCAATCAAAATTCAAGATATAATAACTCCATACAAAATGCAAGTCTGAAATTTAAAAACAAAAAAGTTATTTTCTAACCATGGAATGTATGATCTTTTTAAGTATTATAATGATATGAAGAAAGTCAACTAAATTTCTTTTTCCCTCCAGGCTGGGTTGGGATTCCAGTGGTTCTTTTATTTTGCATTTCCCCTTTAATATCAATGGGATACCACATTTTATAACATTCATACTGTAAACACTATCTTTGAATTTGTTGAGGGATTCAATTTGTAGAACAATTTTATGATTCTTCTTTATTTAGAGTGAGGCCCTAGAGATTGTATTTGAATAGAGATTTAGAATTGCCAAAAGCTTACATATGCATTATCACATTTAATGCAAACTGTTCATATACATGAGTAGGCCAATTATTCAGGTAACATCTTCTCAGTTTACATATTACTCATGACATTTCCCTCCCTGCTTTTTTTCTTTCTTGCCTGAAATTTGATCATTTTCTTTCCTATTAGTCTTGTACTACTGACAGGGAGGAAAGAAAAAAGAAAAAATAGGGGGAAGTCAGGCTGATCACATTTTAAACATGTATAGAGTTCTTTTAGGAAAAAAAAGAAGACTGAAGAATTAAATTGCTAGTTAAACTAAGACTCTAGTAAATAGAGGCATTAATTTATCTCCGAGTTATTTCAATGTTTCTGACATACAAATCTATGACTTTTAATTAATAACATAATTATTTCATAATCATTATTTCCTTTATTCCCGACCTACACAGCAGGGATTCTTATTCCCATTTTTATAGGCGAGAGACAAAGCTGACCTGCCCAAGCAGAGGCCAGGATTAGAAACCAAGTCATTGATCCCAAGCTTACCTGAAGTCTAGTGGGCATCAGAGCCTAGGAAGGGCCCCGCCCCTGAAATCTCTGGTTCAGTAGGTCTGGGGCGGAGCCTGACATGTGCATGTTTTTTAAAGTGAGGTAGTTGCTGCTGCTGCCAACGGTTCGCAGGCGACACTTTGAGAATTGCTGCTTTAAATCAAGGCGCCCTCCTTCAGCTCTTTAATACCCAAGTAAGCTGTAAACCCCCTCGGAGCAGGGGAATTCTTTCAATACTGCGGTGCCCCTCTCTGGGCCTCTCTCACCTGCCACCAACTGGTCACCATCACAGTGCCTGTGACACCTCACACGTGCCACACAAATGTTGCACGAACAGCTTCCGTTTTCTCGTGGTGTTAGAGAAAAGACAGTTTGGTCGAGTGAAACCCAGAAGTGATCTTTCAGTGGGGCCTATTTTAGCCAAAATGTTTGATACTTTTTCTTCTCTGAGCCACCAAATTTATTTAATGAAACAGAGAGACACAGGCTGGCAAGAAAAGCTGTCCCCAAGTCCCTAACCTTCCAAGAAGCACTTCACGCCCTCGGGGAATCTGAGCAGCCTTCGAGAGGACAGACATCCATCCAGCTGTCCGTCCTCTCCCCAAAACGCACGATGCAGGAGTGCCGTTTGCACCAGTCCATGTTGCCCCGCTTTGTAAAGGGGAATTGATTTGCTCTCATCCCTTAGAAATAAAAGACTCTTCTTACAGTGCTCACCCTAAATAATTTCTTCAACTCCTCCTCCTTCCTTTTGGTTGTAAAATATGTCACTTTGGGCATTATCCTGGTGTTTTTTTCCCCCCCATACTACTCGGATATCAAAATGTTATGGTTTTTTTTTTGTTTTTTTTTGTTTTTTTTTTTACAAAAGCAGCCAAACTGTGACCCTTGCAGACAGTTAATTAACTGGCGAACTGAGATAATTCAAACCACAGCATTCTGTGTTAGAGCCGACTGGTGAAAACATAATCGCTGAAAGAAATGGATTATACTGACAGTTTGTTAATGTTTAAGGTCGTGGTCTTACCTATGCACACTAGATCCATAAAACCATACATTCCATAGCAGATTTGAAAAAGGATGTCCTTCCTCTGCCACATTGCATAGGGGCTGAAGGCTGACCAGAGGAGCCAAGTCACACTCGCTATCAAGAACAGGGATCCTAGGATTACAGCAATCATCTGAACTTTCTCAACCAGTGTTATAGAAATGCTTTGCCACTAAAAGAAAAACAGAGGCATGTAAGAAAGAGGTGCTGTGTATAATTTAAAAAAAAAAAAAAGAAACATTTCCAGCCCCATGTTTCTCTTCATTATGTTAGACCCTTTGCAATCTAGCCCCCAAGTGAATTTTTCCATTCCACCCAGGCTATAAAAACATAGACAAGCAGATAAAGATTAATGAATTGCCTTAACTTCATTATTTTCGGTAATTCACCATTCTGCAAGTTTAATCTAGTTTTATTGCAGATAATAGTATGGAGTGTGAATGGCTGAGGAATATTTAGTACCTGGAAATCACATTATTATCTTTCACGCATGCATGAAATTAAATACACTCTGACCATACATGGCGAGCACTCCTCTGTCTGGTAATTTATTTTGCTCTTAACACATTTGGATAACGCAAAAAGAGGGAATTGTCTCTTGTTTTTGTAGAAACGGATATAAAAAGCAAATAAATACGTTATATAAGAACATCAGTTAAAAAATTCATTTAAGAAAACACACTAGGACAATCATAAGGGAACTATGAAATTGTACATTATCTGTTATTGGTACATTTCATATACTCAGATATTACTGACTTTTTATTATCTAATGGGTAATCCATGAGGAATTTTTGTCAAGATTTAGAATTTGTAAGTAAATGGAGTATCTTTGAAACTCACAAACTGCTTTGGCACAGACTCTTCAATGGGGAAAATAATTTGGTGTTCTAAGTATCAATATTTGAAAGGATTTACAGCACAAGTGATCAAAAATCCTTCCAGGGTGCTATCACCTTGAGAGGATTAATTAGTCATGTTCTCACTTTTGCATAATTAAAACAGAAACAAAACTAGACTTGTTATGGTTTGCCAGTAAACAATGAAACTCAAAGCAACCTGCATAATGTCATTTTGTGTGAAAGAGCTCTGGCTGTTTTAACATATGGCTTCTCAGAAAAATTTCTAAACAGTTTAAAATAATCATGTTAAAAAATGATCTTAAGAAATCTGTGTCCATTGCTTAATTTGCTTAAACTCATTACTTACCTTAAGTCTGAATACATGTAACCCCAAATGGCAAATCTATCAGACTGTCCCTCTTTCCCTCATTGTCTGTCTCTTTTTTTCATACACAGATTCACCATAAGTAAATAATTAACATATCACATTTTAAATATCCATTCGACCCTGCATATTAATGGATACTATTAAATTCTACATTTATTAAAGATTAAATACCAATGTATATTTGAAATATTTCATTCTCAAAAGTCATTTACTTTATTTTTCTTTTAAAAATCAGAACCAAACAACAAATAAAGTCTGGTGAAATACTATAAGATATTTCCATTAATTTAAGCTGAAGATTGATTTATTGAAAAATGGTTCTTGCTTTTACAATTCTGAATGAATTATAAACTAGTTGATGGTATTTTTGTCATTACAAATGAATCAATGCTGTATTTCAAGCATGTTTTTGGAAGTTTTTTTTCCCCTAGTTTCTTGACATAATTTTTAACACATTCATTCCAAACCACCAGGCATTTGAATCTTAAACCATTTTAAATTTGGCATTACCAAACAAATGTGAAGTGTCAGTATCTCTTGTCCTTGTTTAGTTTTGATGACCATTAAAATTTTCTTTGAATACAACATGTTAAGCAATTAAAAAAAAAAAACTATGTACAGATAGCATCCTAGATGGATGTTGCCATGTCTATATGCATTATCTTACCTGTTATCAATTTATTAATCATAATAGATGAAAACAAAGCATACTTAAGTACATCAGGCAAAGGTGTCCAAGCTGCGTGTCAGCGTACGTGTTTGATTTTCACATGGTGGGCCATGTGTTCAAAATACACATGCCTGAATCACAGGAGTCTTGAGTAATCAAAGGTAGGTGAGGAGGATTCACCAACAAAAAAGAGTCTTTGCTGATATCTATTTTCCTTTTGCCAATAATTCATGTTCCAGGTTTATGATGTAATTTTAGTGAAGTTAAATTTGAATAGACCAATAATGTATAATTAATTATATTTAGCTTCAATTATACCTGCTAAATTAATTGGTCCAAGCCTGCTTGCATGAGAGCTCCGTAACAACATGGTGGGCGTAGGCATAGTGTGGTCCGTCCCTCCTGGATGCCTGGATACAGGAGTGAGGTTGGATACCGTGGCTGCGGCATTTCCCGGGACACAGAAAATCAGGACACACGGAGTCACACGGAGCAGTGGCTGTGAGGGGTGAGCCACTTCTATTCCCTGTACGGCAAGCTTCTCACCCATGAGGTTTAGCTGTTCCTTGGCAGGGAAGAAGAGGCTTACCAGGAGCAAGAAACAGTAACGCTTCACACTAGTTTCAGTGATGCCAAATGTAAAATGGTTTCCACTCCACATGCCAGGCCGTTGTAAACAGCATTAATGTGTTTAAAGTTATGTCAGGGAACTAAGGGAAAAAAGAACAACTTTTGACTTGTACACTGGGGAGCCTAATTATTTACTAGTATCATAGAAATTATTTTTGTTGTAAATATAAGAAGTAATCTGGGATTGTTGAAGCTTATTTTTAAAGAAGGATATGTTATACAAATGAGCTCCCTGAAATTTTTACATAAAAATCTGTAGATAATTTGGTTTTGTATAAAAATAATGCAAATAAGCAAATGAGTTCAAAAGTAAGTGGATGCTCTTCATATATGGATGAACCTTAAAATTAACTTCATTTCATTGAATAGCTAATGAGGACAAATCATTTTTTAAAATGAAATTATTAAATTTGATTATGAACCTAGGAATTTCCCCTTGAACACTGATATTATCTTGGCAATTCCTTTGCCCACTATACGCTGTGCTTTCTTATTTCTACCAGTATGTGCAAAAAGGGGGATTTTTCTTATCCTTCCCCTAGGAAAAATAATTCTGTCTCCACCAGTAGAAAACACTCACCCAGCGTCCTTGCCCTGGGAAGGCGCACACTATCTAACCGGCTCAGCCTCCAGGAGCTGTGTTAATGGACCATTAGTTTGGACAATAAAAATAGAAGATGAGTCTCTTAGGGCTTCTCTCTCTACCCCAATGGTATCCAAGGCCTGGATTGAAGTTTGTAAGCTATTTCTGAAACTTGAACAAAAAATTTCAATGGCTAAACACACTTTTATCCCCTAAAAGAGATACATATGAGGGGAGTGTGTGTACATGTGTGAGTCTTTTGTTTAACTTTCTTCCCATGTTTGGAAAGGAAAGCAATATAACAATAACCAGATTGATTCTAAATAATTGCTATTGTCTTATTTTTTCTGTGATGTTTAAATATGTGTGACTCTTTTATATTCCTGAAAAGCTGTTCACTTCAACAGAACCAATTATTATACCTACTGTTTCCAGCAAAAGTGGGACCAATGGCTCCTCTTTTGGAATTTCAACCTCGTTTAGTGCACTGGAAGCAATTTGCTAATAATAGCCAATATTTGCATATGACTAATACATGCCAGGCATTTTTCTAAGAGGTTATATGTATTAACTCATTTCATTCCCACAACAACTCTACAAGGGAATTACTATCATTATCCCCATTTTGCAAATAAGTAAACTGAGGCAGAGAGAGGTTAAACAACTTGCCCAAGGTTACACATCTAGTCAAGACCAGAGCTGAGATACAAACCCAGGCAGTTTGGCTCCTAGGTTCATGTTCTTAACACTTAGCCTAGGCTGTGTCATAATTCTGCAGAGCTCTGGTAACAATTCACCGCACATACCCCTGTCTCTGCAGTGCCAAGACAGTTCTGATGAAAGTTCCGAGTGTGTCTTCTCTGGGCTACCGAAAGAGCTTTCCGGCCGGACTTACAGCCCTGAGTCCTTCCCTGTTCCTCAATGTAATTCTGCAATCTACGTTCCTGATACGAGGGGAGCTGCCCCTCTATGCACCATCAAACAGGGCTCAATGTTTGGTTCCTCACGTATCCTCAGTTTCTGGCATGTAATTGATGCACAAGGATGAAAAAAGGGACGGAAGGAGATTAAGAGGAAGAGAGGGAAGGAGCTGGAAAGGAAGAGAGGGAAAGAGGGGAGGAGGGAAGGACACCCTCAGCCCCTCAATTCAGTGTCATCAGACTTCTCTTTATTCTCCCAAATGCTGTGTGCTGTTTATTTTGGTCCCTCTGTGCCTGTGAGCACGTTCTATCCATGGCATGCAATGCCTTCTCCTCTTTTCTCACCTGTCCACACCTGGCTTTAATGACATTCTTCTAAAAAGCCATCCCCTCGTGCTCTCCCGCTCCTAAACAGCACCCCTATCTCTGGGCCCCCACAATCCACTGTCTATACTTCTGGTTAGTGCTGGCTGCTTCTTCCCTTCTCGCTTGGATCCCAGATAGCCACGTACTTCCCTGCTGTCCAGGGACTTGCAGGTTTCCCCACGGCAGAAACTGAGCCTCCTTCCCCTCCGGTTCACCACCCAGCTGAATACACCCAGAAAATGCTGGAACACACATGCAGAATCCTGACTTTAGTTCCCATCACCCATCCAACTGCAGGATAAAGTCCCGGGTCTGGACAAACCACCACTTAGTCAAGAAGTGCAAATTCCAACTCAGATCTCTGTCTCCAAAGCCTCAATTCTTTCTAAAATGCCCTTCTTTCTGCCTTCTCTCTCGCTCTCTGTTCCACCCCTTCACTCTGCCTACTTAAACTAACACAGGCTGCCTCTGAAAGGAAAACCAAAATGGGCACAGCTATACCTATCTAAAAGGTGGTTGTGGGGATGGAAAAAAATCAATATATGCAAAAAGCAGTTCAGCAGAGTTCCAAAATCTAACCCAGAGTTTTCTAAATGGCATCTTCCAAATACTCCTTGAATCTGAAAGCTGCAGTTTGTTCATATTAACATGAAGAGGACAATCTCAAGGAGTTACATCTCTTTAATATTCATGAAGGTTTGGAAGAAGTTAAATAACTCACATTGGAAATTATTTAATATCCTCTTTATACATAACTGTTTGGAGATACACCA